CCGGGCCATAAAATTTGTGATTAAAAATTCCTTTTCAATTTTATCAAGAGTCCAAGATTTTGGTAAAACTGTTAAAATTTGTATTTTTTCATTGCGAGAACTTGTAGCAAATTTTTCTTTCAGTTGATTTATGATTTCGGCTTCATCTTTTTTTGCTTGATCCTCTAGATTTATTTTAAAATTTTTTTAAATTTTTCCCTGAATTTTCAATAATTTATTTACAGGATATTTTTTTTCATTTAACCTTTTCTTTTTAATAGGTGTCTCCCCTAAAAATGGCAAAGTTTCATTTAAAGTTGAAATTGAAGTATTAAAATCTGTATAAGAGTCGGGATTATTGCATGGTTGATCAGGTTCAGAATCGCTAAATGTTTCATTAATAGTTGAGGTAGAAGGTAAGTTAGAAATAGAAGGTAATGTGATCGGGATCGTAGAAGTAAAAGGTGAGATCATATTTGTTGAATATTTTTTTAATTTTTTGCGGCAAGAGCTACAAATTTTTTGATTAATTGATAAACTAGAATTCACTTCTATCATCCATTGTAAAACATTTCTAAGATCGTAACGTACTGAATGAGATTTTATTCTAAAGGGATTACATCACTTTACTGGAATAGAAATAACTTTTCTAGACATTTAAATTTTTTTGGTAAGAAATAAAAGAAAGCTATTAATTTTATATAATTATTTTAAATTAAAAATAAATTGGATAATGAATACCGATAATTTAATTTTCTTAGAAAAATGGCTTTATAAAATTAATCAATAAAAATGACGGCTGTTGCTGTTGGAATTGAATTTGATTTTTATGATAATTATTTTATTTGATATTTAATTATAAGTAGAAAATAATCTTTATGAAAATAATCTTTATGAAAATATATTTCTGACGATCACAAAGATAATTTTTTATCCGGCAAAGAAAATAATCTATACATAATTCACTCATAGAATTGCCAGGTCAAAAATCTCGAATTTAAGAAGAAAAATTTTTTTTTGGGAGGGGGGGGCGAATATAAATCTTAAGATGGGGTTCGGATTTCAGTTTTAATACTATTATTAACAAATATTATCACTTTTTTTAAAAAAATAATCATTTCGTATAATATAGAATTTAAGCCATACTATTTATATTTAAAGCCTAATAACTATTGGCCCAGTAATGGTCCCAATCTAGGATTTTGTACAAATATTAAGATATATAATGTATATTTGTTAAAAAATTTTGAAAGAAAAAAAAGGGCAATTTTTATTTTATAACCATTTCCGGTTTTCTATTTCCAGTTTTTAGTAAAAAAATTATTTTTAATATAATAAATTTTATATCATATAAAAGGGCTATTCTAGAGTTATTTAATAAAGTTTAAATTATACCTTTAGCTTATTTACTTTTTGAGATATTTAAAATTAAATATGGTGTATTTTGAACTTTTCGCGTTTCTAAAGATGGCCATCTCTCATGAAGTAAGCTGAGTTGAGAATTAAAATTTTATATTATTGCTAGTTAGTGTATATACTACCATCATGCAAATTTTAGAAAAAATCAAAGAGGGTCGGGTTGAATCTTCAGTTGATTTGAAATGGAATACAATATATGGAAATAAATTAGTGATAAATACAAATATTAATCCAAAATCATAATCAAAATTCATAATTTGGGAATGATATCGATGAAACAAATGAATAATGAGGATATTAATATTTAATTCTTCGGCTTCGGGTTAGGCTGTTTCTTACAGCTTACCCGAGCCCGAGAAAAAAAGAATTTCTATGTTTTGGAGAGACCCGAGCGGGTCGGAAATTGAAAGTGCAACATTAACATATTTTACATAAATATTTAATATTATTTTGTAATCAATTTGGTTTTCTTTCTTTCTTTCTTTCTTTCTTTCATTCTTTCTTTCCAATCCCGATTCTTCTTCAGCACCATAGAATTAGATAATAATTTACTTATAGCTGGAAAAAATAGAAGTTAATTTAATGATTTTACAAATATTATATAATAACGTTGATATAGTTTAATTTATAATACTGATTCAATTATAAAATATATGTAATTTAGAAAAATATTTGTAACTTATACTACAATTAGTATTATTTCAATGATTGAGTAGTGTAATACTAATAGCAATATAATTTTTGTTGAGATGTATTTTTTAGTACCTTGAAAACATTCCAAAATTATTCGGTTATGTTTTTTTCCATGTCTTAATAAAACCACGTTACCATTCTTATATCACTTACTTGAACATCTATTTATTTAATAAATCACTTTAATTATGAAAAATTAACAATCACAAATTGATATATGGATGATCTAAACTTATACCAAATATATGAAAAATATTTGGAAATGGTATTTTTTATATGGGTATAAAAATTTGACAAGATCTGATGTAACTTAAGCTTTGTAATTTTCTAAACTTTTAACAAAGAGAAGAGAAGAGAAGAAAAGTTAATAATATTGTTGCCAATAAAGGTTTTAATTTGTTTTTACGTCTTAAAACTAAAATGGCTTATCTAGATTTAAATTTGATAATTAGTTTATACAAAAAAAAGTGAAAATTTTTTAGTCTTATGATCCTCTTTCTTCTATGTATTCCACTATTATAATATTTCTCAAGACAACCTGTATACAAGAACTTTCTCTCTGTTGCTTAAAACCGTTTTGGTATAGATTTGATTCACCATTCCTTAAGATATAATTCTTCACAAGGAAGTTCAAAAACTGCATCAGAAAACCTATACGTATTCATAAAACTTTAAAAGAAAAAATCTTCTACCGTGATTAGTATCAGTCTTTTCGAGCGAAAGTTGGTCATGTTGTTATGAAAATAACTGATTTGGGGTCGATCTTTTATAAACTACCCGATATGTTTTTAACCATAATAAACATGAATAAATAGTTTTATTTTTTTGTTTAAAACCGATAATGGTTTGAAGAACCGTTATTTCTCTCTCATTACATTCTTATTACTAAAAAAATTTATCAAAAAAAAATTCAGCAGCCAATTGCTCCTAAAGTTAAGGGTAAATTTGTTTGAAATTTCCTGGAATTATTTTTCTAAACACGCCCGAATACAATTTTGGTAAAATCCTGCAAAAAAAATGACCTATTTAACAAATCAATCAATTCTTGAACCTTTAATTTAAAATTTTTTTTTTAAATACTCTCATCAGACCACCCTTTGGAATATATTCATCAATTACAAAATGCTGACTGTACTATTGGTTATAAATGGTTGGAATTATTACCAAATCGTAACCTAGGTAACCTCTCACTAATTAACTATTAAGACAACGAATTGGATGTAACATAGTTCAACCACATACATGCCATGCATAAAATATAAAATATATTAGTTGATCCCAAAAGGAGGTCTTGATTTGTATATAAGAGTCTAGGCAGACATGCAAGGCATGCAATGAGTAATTAAGTTATCTTTACGAGGGCCCGAATACCAAACATCTGGAGCCTACTAATTTATCATCAGTTGATGGACTAAGTCCAGATGGTTATCCCTTAATTTGGGACTTCACATGCGTCGCCAATATTTCATTCAGACGCGAGCCTGAAGATTTTGCTCATATGAAGGAACAACATATATTCTGGAAATCACGGAACTTAGGGCGATATTCTTCTGGCTAAAATATTGAGTTAGCCCCTTTTTTGAAAATCGGCTCAAAACTAGCCGTTCAACAACACTATTACATATATACATATGGAATAAAGTAACCTTATTTCATGTGTCAATAATTATTTAGGGTATAATTATAATTGTTAATCATAATCGGAACAATTTATCGTACAATGTGAGAGGAAAAACTCTTTTTTTTATAAAAAAAAAATTAATGTCAAGAAAAAAAAAGGAGAAAATGGTTTAAAAAAAAAAAGAAAAGAATAAATATAAATTGGGATATAATTGGAAAGAAAATTTAGCCAAGCTATATAGAAAAAAAAAAGAAAGAAAGAAAGATGAATATCATTAGAGATTCCGAAGAGAAAAATTAAAATAGAAATGGAAATAACGAAGTTAGGTATCATTATAGAGACACCAGTGTTGTTTGACGGTTCAATTTGAGCAGATTATTAAAAATGGATAACTCAGTATTTTTGCCAGAAAAAAATATATTCTCTAAGTCTCGAGATTTCTTTAACAGATGTTTCAAACCCTTTGTGCCCACCCGTGAGCAAAATCTTAAGGCTTGCATAATCATTTTTCTGAATAATATATTGAGTTAGCCGTTTTAACAACACTAAAAGATAGCCAAGAGAAATAGAAAGATAAATGAAAAAAAATTTAGTTTTGCAACATATTATTCTTCTAAATTTTAGGGTGGACAAAATGTTTTTGATATTTATACGAAAGGCTACAATTTATAAATGATTTTATTTTTATTTTTATATTTTTATGATTTCTATATATATTAAAAATACTAAAAATAACTTTTGTCTATGTATATACAATTTTTTAATGGTTAAATTTTAACAAATTCGTTATTTAAATTAAATTAACATTTACAAAAATTACAAAAGGTCATTAAATAAAATTAAAAAGAAATAAATTAAGAAAATTCAAAGGTCATTAAATTACAAAATAAAAATATACAAAGTTTATGCAAAATTTATATATTAACAGTTTTAACATTATCACAAAAAAAAATATAAAATACAAATTAATTTTATCAATTAAATTACGATTATTAAACAAAAAAAAATTGCCAAAATAAAAAGAATTTTTTAATTAATAAATTCCTTATATATAGATTTGAAGGTTCGAATTTTTATCAGTTAGTATTTTTGTCCAAATAATATCTTCTGAGAATTCTCATTCCTCAGCTCAGTCTTTCACTTCCCACGGATGATCTTTCCCTTACATTTTAGCGTATTTATTTAGTGTCGCTTGACTCTTTCATAACAGTTTTTAGTTACAATTTTATTTCCCCCATTTTTTTATCGTGCCTTTTATATATTCTTGCCCCCCCCCTCTCCCAATCTAATGACGATATTACTGCCCTTCCCCACCCCAAATTCTATCTACGCCCTATTGACTATCAAGGATAACAAAACTAACTCCCTTACAATTTTAAACGAATTTATAAGTACTTATCCCGTTCCACCTCCAATTCCTTGGTAAAAGTATCTGATGTCACGTGATTTAAGTGAAATATTTTGTAAAGTATACGTTAATTTTCCGGAGACAAATTTTTTATTTTGATTTAGTATATTTTTTTTCAAATAATATTTATTATTATATATTAAATAAACATTTTTTTTATAATATTTATTTTATTGATTTATCATGACATCAATATTTTAATTTATTTATTGAAATGTATATTACAAATACGACTTATAATTACATTTTTTAAATTAGCAAGAATAAAAAATACTCCAAAGGAAATTTTTTTAATTTATATTATTTTTTTTTTTAAAAAAAGAAATTTAATCGGCATAAATAATAGGAAAACTAAAAAAAATTTAAGGTTAGGGTTAGGGTTAGGTTAGCTTACAATAGATATCTTTTAGTGCTATTTCATATATCTATCCTTAATTAATCTTATTAACAGTACTTCAAGTAATTTTTATTATATTCCCAACATATGAATTTTTTAAGTAATATTTATTATTTTCACCGATTTTAGAAAATATAATATGCTCAGACATATTTATTAATTATTTTATCTAAGTGCATAATATGATTTTTATAGTAAAAATTTATATCTTAGTAACTCGTAAAATTAAACCAAATAATTTTGTGAAAATCAAATAATAATTGTGAAAAATCTTCTATGAATTTTCAAAAAAATATAAGGAAAGCAAATTTTTTTTTAAAATAGGATAATAAGTTAATGGGCCTGCCGGTTTTCCGCTAGCGATTTTAAACGGGTCCGATTTGGGTAAATTATCCCTAACTATTCGATCAATAATTTTTAACTATAAAAATAATATCTTAAGCCTCGAGAATCTATGAACAAAAATTTCCCGGCTTACGTAATATTATTTTAGGTTAAAAATATTAACCAGAACGGACCGTTCAGCAACGCTATTTTTGGCTATTTATATTTTAGGGTGAGGTGTAATTAAACAATCCGAAAGTTCTAATTTATTTTAAAAAAATAAATAAATAAACACTGTTATTAGCAGTAAAAATTTTTTGTGTGGAAGTGAATTAGAAATTTAGGAACTAATACAGCAGTATTTTACAAGAGAATTAAATGGAGGAATGAACAAAATTCCTAAAGGAACAAATAAAATTTTATTAGAAAATGAAATCATTTAAGAATATCTAAACTAAAAGTTACGAAACAATGTTTTAAAAAAAATTTTTGCAATATTTTATACGAGAAAAATTATGGAATAATATAAAAAAAATATCTTAAGGGGTGTAAATAATTATTTTAAAAAGATACTTTTTTACTAAGAAACTAAAACTAAAAGTTGTGAACAATATTTTTTTAATTTTATAATATATTTTTACCGGGGAAAATTTTTTTTTATTTTATAGGGCTACAATACAAATTTCCAGAATAGAAATATCCTTAAGGCAAATTAATATATTTTATCGATACAATAAATCCAATTCTAATTCTTATAAATTATTTCATTAAATATTTATCAGAATTTAAAATTTTAATATATAAGGCTATACAAAATATTTAAGATTAAAAAAATAGGATCTAATTTTTAAATTTTTAAATTTTTGCTCAAAATTTTATAATTTTTTGCTCCAAATTTTATAATTTTTGTTCAATAATTGTAATCATTTGAATTCCCAACATTTATTATAAACCAAAGAAACTAAAAGGCTCCTTATATAAATTAACCAAATATTTTTTTTAAGCTTTTAAAATAGAGACTTGATAATGCCTAACCAAAATTTTCGATTAATTTTATCGATATTAATATTAGCATTCGTGTCACGTGCTTCAATCATTCCAGAGGCTTCAACTCAGGAGGATAGTAAGTCTTTCCCTTGAATTGTAAATAAATATTTTTTTCTAAAAAAATCATTTCCATTTTATGATAGAGAGCTGGATATTTCAGTCGAACAGATAGAGTTTTTTATAATATACATTGACCTGCAAAATTCTGCATCTTCAGGGGTCAGTGCGCTGAATTTTTAAAGATTAGAATTTATAATAATACACGGGATTACTAGGGACCCTCAATATAGGATTTTGTATATATAAACAAACGCGTTTGAATGGAAATTTATATCTAATAACAAATTTATGGTTCTTTATCATTTTTCGTCCATCTCTAAATTATAAATTATGAATTTTTCAATCTTTATTTTAATATTAATCTTATATTTTTAACCGTAAAAAATAAATTTATAAAGAAATAAAATTTAGATATAATAAAAGTTTAAAATATTGATAAATCATGAATAAAATATATATTACAGTAAATATATAAAGTCTATTCGTATTTTCGGATAGAATATTTGCACTATTCATATTTTCGGATCAAATATTTGCCTTATTCGTATTCTTGAATCGAAATTATCCCTATATACGGATAATATTTGCATAATTCGTATTTGTAACAAATAAATTTGAAGATAATTCGATTCGAAATTAAACACTATTTAAAAATAATTTGTTTTAAAATGAAAAGAAAGATGGATTATTAAGAATTTCAAAAAAAGTGATATATATTATGTAGAAAGAAAAGTATAAGAAAAATAAACTAAAACGTCACTTAAAGGATCATGTTAAAATACTAAAGAATAATTTTAAATATTTTTAAGAATAATTTCGAATAATACTTAATAAATCGGGAATAATTGGCTAATTCTGATTACAAATTTCCTAGCAAATTTTAGTAAACTAAGATTGGGTATCATAATTAGGGGTTCCTCATTGGCGGGTTTTTGGCTCGCCGCGCATGCCCGCATATTCTTCAGGTGGGTGCAGGTGGGCTTTCCAAAATATTTTAAACATTGAGTAGCTAGCAGGCTGGCTTAGTGGTCGATGGGCAGGTCAATTTTAGTATTTTAACGGCGAACTGCATTTTGAAAAGACTACTGCTAATTTAAAAATCATCTTTTTATTTCAAAATATTACATATTTTTTTAAACTTTAATAAAAAAATATACAAATAAATTAAATAAATTATGAATAAAAACCAGCCATTAAAATAATTTTTAAACATGAGGGTGGGTGGGCTAGATAAATTTTTTAGATAAATGGGAGGACCGGTATTAAAAAAGCTATGGTTAAAACTGGCGGTTTAAAAAATAAATTTTAAATCAACAGGGCGGAGGCTTTTTAGATTAACTCGCCCAGAGCAGACCTCTAATCAAGATATGATAATTAGATTTAAACGGGACAAGTAATAAGGTTACTGGTTATATACATTTTTTTTTTAAATTTTAAATAGATCTGAAGAGTTTTGACATGATTCAATTAACCTCCTGGATGAATCAAAGTATGGATCCGTGCACAGATTTTTACGAATTCGCCTGCGGTGGTTACATCCAAAAAACTTCCATTCCAAGCGGTTATAATCGATGGGATCAAATAAGCGCAATTTCAGAATCGATACTTTTAACTATAAAAGATATATTAGGTGATTATTCATCATCAAAAGGGAACAACAAATGGTTGGGTAGAGAAATAATAATGTCAGAATTATCTTGTGTTAGAATTAGCAATAACAGTTACTTGATTACAAGTGTAAGTTTTAAAAAGTTACAGTTACAATTTTGAAAAGTTACAAGTATCATTTTATATTTATAATTAGTTGAAGTTATATTATTCCTTTATAAAGCAGTTCATTCATAGATAACTAAGTTATTTGTTAATATTTAATTTAACAACGACACAGCGAAAGTATAATCTTTCATAAAGTATTCGCTAGTTGCATTAACACTAGTAGATAAGTACATGGATAAATTATTATATTTGCATTATAAAAATAAATAAAGAAAATCCTCATACAAAATACGAAGCAAGGGCCGAGAGATTGGCCAAGACATATTACGATTCTTGTATGGATAAGAATATTATTAGAGAAAAATTGGGAGGAAAGCCATTAACCGATCTATTAGACCTATATGGAGGTTGGGATGTGCTGAACGTGGATAACAAGCCTTCCCCATTCATAGATGAATCTTCCAACTTAAAGAAAGGTTCTTACGAATTTGTAGTTTCTTTTTATAAGGGATACATTTATATTAAACAAGCAGTGAGAATAAGAGTTGCAGGAAGATTCAGGAATAGTTACTTTTATTAGAACATTCTTCTCTTTCTCTTATTTTTATATTTAAATAAACTCCTAAAAAAAGCATAATTTTACTATCTTTCATTCATTTTTATTTAATCCAAAAAGTACTTATCGAACAAAATTAAATATCGCCAAAACTTTATATTTAAATAATTGTCTATATTTTTAGATTAAAATTTAAATTAAAAAATTGAAATATCTAGATAGAAATAATAATTGTATTATATTTTCGTTTTCTTTGGTTTTATGATTTTGTTCCCGATATTTTATTTTTTCCTTAAAATTGTTATAAAAAACTATTACATTATTATCAACATACTTAGACGGGGATTCTTAACAGCATACCCGCTTAAATATAGTTGACTATAGAATAAATAGCCGATATTTATATAAATATCGAGACAATATATATTTTTCTACCTACTGTCAATTATTCTTCAATTAAAAATTTTCCCCTTTTCTATTTCTATTCAACTAAATAAAATTTTACTAAAATTGAATTTATTTATTCCCCCCCCCTCTCCTATCCATATAGTCAGATATCCCGAAGGCTTTCTCAGCAATTTTGGATTTATATTCTTTGAATTGCATCCATGTATAGACCCCAAAAACTCCTCCAAATACATACTCTGCATCTATCCAGGCCAAGTCGCTCCCCCATACGATGATGATTACGAGGGCAATGCCACCTTCATTAACCTAAAACGTTACGACGCTTATTTAAAGTACATGTTAAACGTTGGAAATTTGGTGGTAACTAGTTCTGGGTTTCCTAAAGAGAGAAGACTCAATCAACACGATAGTAATCTAACTCGCTACACTTTGGGCCGCGAAGAACATCGCCAAACGCCGATAAATAATCAACTTAAAACCGTTATGTCGAACGTGCTGAAATTTGAGGGGCATCTATCTAACGTTTAAAATTAAAATATATTATTATTTTATTCATTTTGCTTTCGATATTAGGGTAAAATCATTAAGAATGCTTAAAATTAAAAAATGTTTACCTTTTTTTAAAAAAACCTTATACAATTTGATCAAAACATTCATTTAATGATGATGAATGACAAAATAAAATGGCTCAATACACTTAGCCCGAATTCGCGGTTAGCGTGATTGGGCGGTAAAAGAATACAAAAATCCAGAATATTTTTGCGCATTTCGCCGCGAATTATCGGAAACTGTGAATTCGTGGGTACCTATAAAGGTTGATGCATATTTGATTTTAATCCCTTTGTTATAAATTCATGCCGGGCTTTAATTTTCTAAAAATATTTTCGCGCAATTTAGTTCTTAAGTCGTAATTCTTGATTGGTTATTAATGAGATGAACAAACACGCAATTCGTCAAATAAATTTTGATATATATTTTTTCATGACCCATTGATTTGTTATGATAAAGGAGAAATTTAGGGAATTTTTTGTCGAAAAAAAAATATAATTGAATAAAATGTTGAGCTAGTCATCGGTTTAGCGCGATAAAATTAATGAAGTTGTAGTTTATTATATATAAATTTTAGTCTATTTTCAAAGGGTAACAGTTAGTGTTGTTAAACGCCTCATTTTGAGCCGATTTTTAAAAGCGGCTAACTCAATATTTTATCCAAAAACCCTAAGACTTTAGATTCCGCTAATAGATGTTCAAACCTGCATTCCTTCTACAAACAATCTTCAGATTTGGGTAATATTATTCTAGATGAAATACTGAGTTAGCCGTTTTTTAAAAAATGGACTCAAAACGAGCCCTTTAACAACACTAGGTAACACTAAAAGACATCATTTTAACAGGAAACTATATTCGCGAATAACATAATTTAGAACTACAATTCTTTAACTCTCAAACATTACTCTTATTTTATATATCCTAAAATATTATTAATATATCTAGATTACTCCATCTTCTATGGATTTGGAAACTATTGACGAGTCGAATTACGTCCTAATGTCGTTAAAAGAGTTGGACAACAATTTTGATTTCGTAAGTTAAAAATCTAAGAGATAAGAAAAAAAAAGAAAGAAGAAGAAAGAAAGAAAGAAAGAAAGAAAGAGAAAGAAAGAAAGAAAGAAAGAAGAGAAAGAAAGAAAGAAAGAAAGAAAGAAAGAAAGAAAGAATTTTTCAACCAATTTTAAAATATGAGATCTTAAGGGTGAAAAAAAATATATACTAAGTCATCAGATAAGTATAAATTTTTTGAGTCACCTAAAACTCTTTGGGTGCAAAATTAAATTCAAAATTTATTTTTTTCCGCAAGATGAATTGGACAAAATATATAAATCAATATTTCGAAGTTCACAACATATCCATGCCAACCAACCAAGTATTTTGGGTCACATCCATCTCTTACATGGAGAAGATGAATAGCTTAATCAAGCGTAGCTTAAATGAAATGGGCATATCTAGGTGTATTTTAAGATGAAATATTCTATAATATTCTCATAATTATTTCTTAACTTAACTCACTTATCTTATTTTTGCTATAATATTTTTCTTTTTTTTTAAAAAAAAAAGAGTTTTGCATGATTACATCATGTGGCACAATGTAAAACCTCTCACACCTTATTTGTCCAAAAAGTTCGGTGATGCCGTTAACCCAGTTCTCAAGGCGCATAATATAAAAAATTATGAAAAAATACCGGCTTGGAAGAAATGTTTAGAGAATTTTCCCACCTTTATGAAATTCCCACTCAGTTCCCTCTACCTGAAATCCAATTTTGATTCTTCGGATAAAATTAAGGCAATAGAGATAAATAAACATATATATATATTTCAAAAGTTTTTTATAATAATTTTATAAATTTCATTATCAAGAGTTTTTTATAATAATTTTATAAATTTCATTATCAAGTCATTTTACATTATCTTCCAGGTGGAAGGAATTGTTGATTCGTTGAAAATGTCTTATAAAGATGCTTTTCGGAATCTTGATTGGATGGATGAAACTACGAAGAGTAGATCTATGGAAAAAGTTTATATTTTTTTTGTATTTTAAAACATGCCCTGATTAAAAAAAAATTCTTAAAAATAATATTAATTTATTATTAAATTAAACAGTATTTCTGATTGGTGTTGTTGAATGGCTCTTATTAGAGGCGATTTTTAAAAACGCTAACTTAATATTTTAGCCAGAAAAATATCGCTTAAAACCTCAAGATAATGGGAAATAGATGTCCTAAACTTTGTTGGGCCATATAGACCCCGGACCTTAATTTCGATTTTTTTTTTGTTTTTGAACGTAACAATAAAAAAAATAATATTATTCCTGATTAAATGTTCAAAATTATTTAAATTCCCCCCTTTCAATGATTATATATATATATACCTTAATATTAAATTATTGCGAAAATTTTATAAATATGCTCTCTTATAGGTAGATGCGATAAATGTCAAAATTGGTTATCCGGAATACATCGTGGATTCCAAAGAACTGGACAAAGATTACGAAGGAGTTGAACACAAAATAAATATAATGGCATAATTATTATTAAAACACTTTGATGAATACATTTTGATTTTAAATTTTGTAAGATCAAACCTATTTTAAGATTATCATATAACCGCTATTTCTAGTATAGATCTGCAAAGTCAGGCTCGACCCGCTAGGCCTAATATTTAAAAAAAAATACCGACCAGGTCGGGTCGGACCTTGGAAATTTTTTTAAAATATATCTAAATTTATCAATTTTATACTGAATTTTTTACGTAAAATATAAATATTTATTTTTTTTATTGAAACTAAACGACATATAATATATATGTCTTTTATTTTGAGTAATTATAAAAATTAATTTCTATATTTAAATTAATTCAGGCCGGGCCGGGTCTCGCTAAATAATGATATTTTAGGGAAAAAATAAACTTCGAATAAAATAAAATATTCCCTTTTTTGGGGTCACTTTTTCATGTCGTATTCTCTCTAACAACTCATAGTGGCACAAGCGTTATCTAAAAATGCTACAAATAATATATTATATTCTTTATATCATTTTTAATAGCTATACATGCAAGATGACTCCTATTTTAAGAATTACCTCAGTCAAAGAAGCGCAAATGAATTACAAAATATCAAAAAACTTTTCCTCCCAGTAGATAAGAAACAGTTAAAACTTTTTATTTTAAGCAAAAGAAAAAGTTTATAGATTTTCTCTTAAGACCCAGTTGACAGGTTTTTCGGGATCATACAGATCTGACCTTTTTGCCCCCTACCACCCATGCCCTATTTATTTTAATTTAAAAATACCTATTTTTATGAGACGGTGGTAAAAAAAATTTTAAAAAAATAATGAAATCATATGGTTATAAATATGAATTTTTTAAAGTTTCCAAAAATATATTCTTGTAAAACCTTTTTATATTGTATCTTCTGAAATAAATTTTGTATAAATATATTCAAATAATAAACGATTTTTTCCAACTTTATTTTGTTTATTATGTAATTCTCACTCTAAACAATTGAATAACTTTTAATACTTTCCTCTATAATAGTCGACTTTGATCATTGATATACAGAGAAAGGAAAGGAAGGAAAGCATTTTTATAATATGATTCTGATATTTAAAAATTTCCGGATCGAATTGGTTGGGTTTTCTTCAAAATGGATTACATCAAAAATATAGGTCCGTTGCAAATTCTTTCTTTCTTTTTTTCTTTCTTTCTTTCCTTCTTTCTTTCTTTCATTCTTTCTTTCTTTCTTTCTTTCTTTCTTTCTTTCTTTCTTTCTTTCTTTCTTTCTTTCTTTCTTTCTTTCTTTCTTTCTTTCTTTCTTTCTTTCTTTCTTTCTTTCTTTCTTTCTTTCTTTCTTTCTTTCTTTCTTTCTTTCTTTCTTTCTTTCTTTCTTTCTTTCTTTCTTTCTTTCTTTCTTTCTTTCTTTCTTTCTTTCTTTCTTTCTTTCTTTCTTTCTTTCTTTCTTTCTTTCTTTCTTTCTTTCTTTCTTTCTTTCTTTCTCTCTTTCTTTCTCTCTACCTGACACAAAATAAGTCCGATTGCATAAACCTCTAATACAATCGGAATAAAATCTGTTAATTTAAAAAAATATATTATTCGTATGGGGAAAGAGGGGGTTGTGGCAATGACATCGTTTAAAAATAATTGAATCGATTTACACAATTAATTACAAATATTTTTATATAAGATCACAATGTTTATATATTTATATATATAACAGATGGTTTGAATCACCGCATACCTCTAATGCTTTTTACTCTTCTTCTGAAAATGAAATAAGTAATATTTTTTAAAAAATATTGTATAATTATATATATTAAAAATAATATTAATATAAAATTATTTTTGTTTAACTTATTTACCAAATACACTAAACTTCGATACAACAAATTTATTAAATATATATTCGTAAAAATAAATTATATATTTTGATACATTAATGGCAAACACAAAAAAATATAAATTAAATAAAATATAATATTATTTTGTTTTTTTTTCTCTTTAGCTTTCACCTTTTCTGGTGGTAAGTTCCTTCAACATTTCTCCACTTTATGTTATTCATACAATCTCTTTTATTTAATTTATACTTCTTTATATTAACTCTAACTTTATGGCCCCATTAAAGTTTTGGCCTTCCTCTTATACGTTTACCCATCACTTCCAAACTCTTAACCTTATTTCCTATGTAGTTCATAGGCTTTCTCATTGTGTGCCCATACCACCTAAGTCTGTTTACCATTAACTTAGTCTTAATGGGCACTACCTTTAAACTACTTATTATTCTAGTACTGCGCACTTTATCCTTTCTTGTTAACCCAGCAATCATCCTCAGCATTATCATCTCCATAGTTTGTAGACTTCTCTCGTCTGATTTCTTGGTTGGCCATGTTTCCAAACTATATAAAATAGATGGTTGTACTATGGAACTGTAAATCTTTTCCTTTAATTTGTGTTGGATTCTTTTGTCAAATAGCACTCCAGATAAAAATCTTCACTTTAACCACCCTTGATTAATTTTACTCTTTATCTCCTTCTATTGTGCTATTTGTTTGTATAGTGTAGCCCAAATATTTGCAGCTTTCAATTACCGATATCTGCCATTAATTTATATTAATACAGTCTGTTTAATCTCCTCCTATCACCATATACTCCGTCTTTTCTCTATTTACTTTTAGTCCGTGCTTTTCTAGGATATTTATCCAACTTACTAATCTTTCTTTCATTTCATCCTTGGATTCGGCAAGTAACACAATATCATCTGCAAATATCATATTCCACGGGAGAAGTGGGCTGAGAACCGACCCTTGATAAACTCTTTCGGCTATTGTAAAGCCTGCTGAAGTACCTGTTGTGCTACGGACCATGTATTACCATATATATCCTGTATTATTCTTATATATTTTTAGGGAACCTTTTTGTGGCGTAGCACCCACCATATAAGTTTTCTTAGGATTATATCGAAGGCCTTTTCTAGATCGAGAAAGACCATGTGTAGCTTTTTGTATCTTTTCCTTATATTTTTCACTCATTTGCCTAATTGAGTGGATAGCATCAGTTGTTGATCTTCCAGACATTAAACCAGAGTTTCTTCTATTTCGATTAGGTCTCTTAATCTTTTTTCTATTATTCGTATAGTTTTAGACAGTGTGACATTAATTTTATGCCCCTTTAATTTGACAATTGTGTGGACCCCCCTTCAGCCTCCATTTTTGGGGAACCTCTTCATTTCCGTATTTTATTGTATAGATTTGAGGAAATGTATTCCATCATCTCCTATTGCTTTAAAGCTTTCTATTGGAATATAACATGGACTTATAACTTTGTTGTTTTTCATTTGCTTAAGGCATATGATTATCTCTTGTTCTGTTATTGGTTATAAAAAGTTTTGACATGGGGATCGTCTAGATTTAGTATAGGAAGATTAAAGTTGAGAAGCTCCTGAAAATATTCTTTCCATCTATTCATTATTTCTTTTTCCTTTATTATCAATTTCTCATCTTTGTTTTTGATTACTTTCGGAGCTCCTTTTATATTCCTAGAATTTTTTTCTCGCTGTTTGGCTAATTTGTATATTTTATTTTGCCCTTTTGGTATGTAGTTCTTCATACATGTCATCGTATCCCATAGATTTGACCCTAGCCTCCTTCTTTGTAGCTATTTTCTTGGATTTTTTGTATATTGTCTTGTCATCTGGGTTTTTGGATTTGTCCATATTTTGTAAAGGGTTTTTTCTCCTGTATAATGGTTTGTACCTCTTCATTTCACCACCATAGTTCTTTGTATGATTTGTTACCTCCCCTTGTCAAGCCTAGTGTCGATTTGGTGTCTATTAATCTGGATGAAAAATCTGTCCACTACTTTTCACTGACTTGTGAGGAATCTATTGTTTCAATGTTTTCATTGATTGCAAAGGCATCTGTCACATTGTTTATAATTTACCCCATTTGATGCATGGTTCCAGTTTTATCTTGTTTTGACTCGATTTATTTGTGATGTGTAAATCCATGACTAGTAATTTGTGTTGCGCGGCTATATCTTCTCCTGGGATGACTTTGCAATCTATTACATCTTTAAATCTTCTACGAAAGATATGCATGTAATCTATCTGTGTTTTCCTTGTACCACTTTTATAGATTATTAAATGACTGTCTTTTTTCCTGGTTAAGGCAAGGTCGAAATCTTGCGCAAATTTCAGTATATGTTCTCCTTCATCATATCTTTCTCCATATCCAAAACCACCATGATGACATTTGTAACTATCTCTTACTTTTCCCACATGTGCATTTAAGTCACCACCTAGTATGACTAGGTCAGAGGTTAGATCTTGACTGAGGATGATACCGACACCGTTCCTATTACTAAGAATTCCATAATAGTACTATTTATACCTATCTCTAATCATTAAAGTCTTATGACCTTTCCATGTCTCTTGAATGCACGCTATGTCAACTTTTCTCTTGTTCAACATTGATGCCAATTCTCTCGTTTTACCTTTAAGTGTACCAATATTTAAACCTGCTAATCTTGTCTTATTTTCTTTGACCTTTATTTTACTTTTCACAGGATGGAGGTCTACCCTGCGCATCTCTCGGAGATAACGCCTTAGCTTTCATATTCATATTTTCATTTGTTTCCTTCATTTTGTTTATTGGACAAGAATCTTTAGCACCCGGCTGTCCAGGCCTGTCGGCAACCGGGGTGTCATCTCTAAGCTTCGAAATTTATCTTATCATATGTCTTTACGCATCAGTCATCAAAGAAAAACCTGAAAATTTTTATGCTCCTTACCAGGATTGAACCTGCGTCCTCTGTGTCCTTCTGTTTACAAGCATACATCATAACCCATTAGGAATATAATGTGAATTCTACTACTTTATTAAATCTTCAACAACAAAAAATGACGCTATTTTTTTCCCTATCCCACATTAAATATTTTTTGATATTTTGAATTTTGTGTAATGAATTGTTTCTTGTAATAAACAAAGAAAAATTCTAGATCTCAAAATCACTCAGTGGGTTGAGATATGAGCACTTCATATGTGCAAAACTTGAATTTAAATTATTGAATTTTAAAATATATCTCTGGAAAGGTGTTGGGGCGAGAATATTCATTCAAATATTATTTTGTTAATTTATCGTTACTTCTTTAAATTATATTAAATTTAATAGACCCAAAGAAATATAAAAATGCGTACCGAAAGTTAAAAAAAACTTTAAAAGTAATTTTTTAGGGCGCACATATATATATATATATATTTAGTTTATTTGAATTCCTACAGGTTTTGAGAAATATGGTTCAATTTTTTTATTACCTATCTCTTGTCTTAAATTACTTAAATTATCATTAAAGTTAAAGCCATTCAAAGGCAGGATTCTTCTATAAGCTGCTCCAAATCGCCTTCCGAAAGAGAAGTATAACCTAGGAATTGTTAGTAAGATATTAGACACTTTCTCGTAATGTTCAAGATGAGCAAAGCCCATATGGGTTTTTTTTATATTAGAGTTACTGCTTTCCACATATTTTGGCTATATATCCGCGCTTTTACTTCAGAAATTTATTACGTCACTTAAAATATCGTGATTACCATCAATTTGTAAAATGCCTATTATATTGCATGCTTCATCAAGCTCATTTCCAGTAATATGTTCCCCTTATAATGGGGATCCAATAAATAATCAGCAGTGTAAGCACAAGTGTTTGGTTCATTTTTTTTTCTTATTAGGTGGAGAAATGGATAAAAGTATGGCATGATTCAATTATGTCTTTTTCCAAATTAAATAACTTGTTTTTTTAAGTGGACCAAAAAAGTATATATTTATCTATTTGCACTTACAACAATAAGATAGTTAAAATGTTAAAGAATAGTTTAAAATTTTAAAAATTTTTCTGCCATTTCTTCAGTTAATATATGATTAGTATCTGTAAAAACTGCTTTTATAACTTTCTCGTATATCTATTTGTTCCTTACATTTCATTGACCATGCCCATCTTGTTTGGATAAATGTACATAATGTAATATAAATTAGCATTTAGTAATTTTCTTAAATCATGCCTTAGCAAAAATTATTATATCTATTTATATATTGAGATCTGATCAATTTAATAATGATATTTTTTAATACTAATTAAATCTCTTCCTTGTCGATACAAACATATTTTTAGATAATTTGTAACTTAATTAGAATTGATAAACATGCTTTAATATATACAGTTAATTAAATCTAATATATTTATTCACCAATAATATTTTTAGTGTATTTGATCGTATTTGACCAGGCCAAATTCTCCTACGGTCATATGACCGACCCGCCAACCATATCATTTATTATAAATTTTATGCATTAAATTTAAATATTCAGCAATTATTTTGAATAATTAAACTCTATGTTACGAAAATGATAATAGGAACTAAATTTATTTTATTCCTAAATAAAATTTTTAGTTAAAAATATCTCAAAATGGTCAGACTGAAACTCTTGTTTATTTGACATGGGATTCACCATGTCTTATTAAGGAAATTAAATATATATTATTTCTTATTATCATAATTTTTCAATTTTTTAACAAAATAAATATTCGCGACACAAGTGTTTCCTGCTGGGATTTTACGAAAACCGTTATGCGATAAAACTTATACTGAGTATGAAAGAAAACATAATTTTTTTATTAATAAATATCATAGGGCATGCATAAACACTTGGCCACAAGATAGGGTGGGGGGGGGGGGGTTAATGATATGCGTTGAGCGAGATTAACTTCATATTTAATATTTATTTTATTGAATTCAAACCCGACCCTAGTGGGCTATTAGTTATCCGCTATAAAAAGAAGGTAGCGTCTAACTCGTAGCGGGCTGCCTTAATCAGACTAATCTTGAAAGTTTTAATATTTAAAAAAAAATAGATTTTGAATCATTTTTCTACCTTTTCTTTGATTATCCTTCTATCTATAAGTGTGTTGGGAGATGTAGGAAAGGGTAAGAAAAGTAAAATAGTAATGGAATGGAATGGAGGAACGATGTAGCCCTTATTTAACTTATCTTTCTCTTTTTAATCCTTTTTGTTAGCTTATTATCCAACTGTATTTTATGATTTACTTGCTATTGCTTATACTTTATTACATATATGCTTCATTGCTAATATATTAATAATTGTGATTGTTAATTGTGTTTTCATTTAGCTGCTATCAATTTGGAGCTATAGGTAGCGTTATAACCCACGAAATAGGACACGGCTTTGACGTTGAAGGTTAATATCATTTATTTTTTTAAAAAAAGGATCTTATAAGGAAAGATTGGAAAAGATTGGAAAGGAAAATTGTGGAATATAGGCTAAGATGGCATTATTGATAATATATCCTTGATATAAATGCTCCTATTTTTTTTTGTTTACAGGTAGGAAATATGATAAAAGCGGTAATTGGAACTTGTGGTGGACAAATAAATCAATTGAAGCCTTCGTAAAAAAACAGTTTGTTACCTTGACCAATATTCCAATTATTCCATCAATGGCCATAAGGTATATCAATATCTAATCATGAAGGGAAGAAAAAAAATTGTTATTACATAGCATATTTGACTAATATGTTTGGTAGTTTGTCAAACTAGTATGAAACTAACATTACTATTACTAATATAATTTAAAATCTTTTGCCACTTATTCCTTTAATTTCCCTTTAAAATAATTATTCAAATATTGCTTTCTATTTTATGATTACAATATTTATCTTAAGTTGGACGGCAAACGAACGTTAAGAGAAAATATAGCGGATAATGGAGGAGTTTCTATATCTTTGAAAGTAATATAATTATCAAAAATTAAATTATTGTAAATAAAAGAAACATATAAAGAAAGAAAGAAAGAAAGAAAGAAAGAAAGAAAGAAAGAAAGAAAGAAAGAAAGAAAGAAAGAAAGAAAGAAAGAAAGAAGAAAGAAAGAAAGAAAGAAAGAAAGAAAGAAAGAAAGAAAGAAAGAAAGAAAGAAAGAAAGAAAGAAAGAAAGAAAGAAAGAAAGAAAGAAAGAAAATGTAAGATAATATTATTAGTATTCGAATTTAGTATTTTTCAGTGTTCACATGGACAAAGTTATGGCAAGATAAAAAATATATATATATTGGGTATAGGAGAGATTTTTTGATAAGAGATCCAAAACATATAAATCTAGTAATTCCTTACAAGACTCAGTCTAAATATTTACATATAAAACAATTGGCTATCTCCTTTTCCCAATGCCGATGCTATCTTGATTTAAATAACTTTATTTTTCTAGATAAAATAATGAATAGGTTTTTTTTCTTCAAATTTTATCCATTTTATCGGTTTGACCCCTAAAAACAGTTATATAGAAAAAAAATGTATAAGAATATTTATTAAAAAAACTTATAATTTAAAATTTAAAAAAAAAATAATATATTGTTGCATTTAAAAATAAAATAGGCATTGAAGAGTTATCAGGCCAAGAAAAGGAGGGATGAATACGCTTTCAAATCCAATACAGTCGAAGATCGACTATTCTTCCTTGCCTATGCTCAAGTTTATTCATATGAATGTGTCATTAAAAAAAATAAATGTAATATTTTAAAAATAATATATAAGAGTCATTGTTCTAAGGACACGCCCGAAGCTCTATATGAAAGAATTAGATCTGGTTTTCACAGCCCTGACAAATACAGGTTTGTTAATATATATTTTTCAAAATTCACTTTTAACCTTGCTAGAGCCAACATATAACAGCCTTTCGGATTCTCTCTCTCTCTTTCTTTATTTATTTATTTCTTTCTTTCTTTCTTTCTTTCTTTCTTTCTTTCTTTCTTTCTTTCTTTCTTTCTTTCTTTCTTTCTTTCTTTCTTTCTTTCTTTCTTTCTTTCTTTCTTTCTTTCTTTCTTTCTTTCTTTCTTTCTTTCTTTCTTTCTTTCTTTCTTTCTTTCTTTCTTTCTTTCTTTCTTTCTTTCTTTCTTTCTTTCTTTCTTTCTTTCTTTCTTTCTTTCTTTCTTTCTTTCTTTCTTTCTTTCTTTCTTTCTTTCTTTCTTTCTTTCTTTCTTTCTTTCTTTCTTTCTTTCTTTCTTTCTTTCTTTCTTTCTTTCTTTCTTTCCTTCTTTCCTAATTCGAATTGCCGATTCAATAATAAACTTAAAGATTTCATACTAAAATCTATTATAAAAACAAGAGTAAACGGAGTTCTCTCCAACTTTAAACAGTTTTCAGAGGCGTTTAGCTGTTCCGCCAAATCCGCCATGAATCCTCCTAACAAGTGTACCATCTGGTAATTTAGACCGCGTCTTGGAAAAAAATGGAAGAATATTTGAACAAAAAAGAGTCACTTAATATTTTACATACTATCAACATATCATTAATTAATAATAACTTGACTATGTTAACTGTCACTATTCGATCCAGTTTTGAGCAGACTTTCAAAAACCGATGCTCATTGTACCAATAATAATGAATTATTTTTTTGTTATATATGTAAATAAATATATTATGACTTGCTCATTGAATTAATAAAATGACTTTCATTTTTGATATGTATATGATTTAAATTATTAAAATAAGCATTATAATATGTAATAGATAATTTAAGATTAAAATTTATAAAATCGTTAAATAAATAAATTTCAATCTAAACTTTAATGAAAATAAATAAAATAAGCTTTTCTAAATATAAAAATAAAAACATGTCAAACATAAATCTAAAATTTTTTGTTAATTTGAAAAAATAATATGTAAATATCAGAAATCCTTTATCAACTCAATCGCGATGTACTTCATCATCTAGCCATTCGACTCTAGCAGCAAAACTGCAAGATAGTAATGTATTGGTACCCCATGAAATTTTATAAAGGGGTTGCAGAAAAATTCATAGGTTAAAAATTAGAATAAATGATTCGAAAAAATATTTTAGGTTTTTTAAGGCAAGCCATTATTTTTAATACAGATATATTATATAGTGTTAACGATATAAGTTAATTAATGAAGATAAAAATCCTAATTCATTTATTGGGTATACATAGTTTCAATTATATACTGTAGAAAATAGTATATTTTCATATATCATAGTCTTATCATTAGTTTGAAGTTTTTTGCAGAGCAATTCTTTTAATTTTTTTTCAGAAGGTGATACTAGTGGTATTATCTAGCACCCTGCCACATTCGCCTATAAGGCATTGCCTTACTGTCTCCCTCTCACTATGTCAAATACAAAACTATATAAAAGATATATTCATTGAGACACACTATAAGCAATTAAGTAATGATACACACGTGATTTAAAATCGACTGTATATCCTATCATTTGAATTCGTCGAACTCTACAACTCAAATTGTGGAGGCCATAGTAACTGAACCCAATTCTTTGTAAGAATATTTAAATAGTAATTTGAGATTTTTTTATATCGATTCCATAGCACTTTACAATGTAAATCTCATTGCTGATTGGAAAAATTTGTTACCAAATATTCGCCCCTGTTTCTAGTCAAGCAATATTCCTACTCATGAAATGATAGCCACCACTCCAATATCTTTGAAATTTTCTTGCCTTCCTTTTAACATAAACGACTTGTAAAGAAGATATGGGATAAAAAATATTACGTTACGGGAAGAAACACCAAATTTTATGTAATAAGAAATTAATATTTTTATCAAATCATCTAGGTTAATGATGCTTACTACCTTAAGGTACATCCTATCAAATTTGAATTTTGTTCATTTTTCATTTGGATAGGCACTACCAAATATATTTATAATTTGGCTTACTGATTCCATAATCCTGGGTTCGAATCCCGGGAATGGTGATGTTTTTTTTTTAAATCTAACTTGGTAATTCCATCCTTGGGGGGATAATATATAGGAGGCCGGACTCGACCACGTGATTTAATATATTAAATAATAAGGGTCTTATTACATTTTAATAAATTTTGGTCGGTATTTAGCAAATTAAGTTGGTATTTAAAATATTTCCATACATTCACTTGGTAGTATGCATTATTAACCAATCATCTACTTTGAAATCCAGAATAAAAAATTAATCTATATTACATATTATTTAGGCTAATTTTATTTTTTATTTTATAAATTTACGAGATGTTTCGTGATTAATATTTTTTAATGAAATTTAACATATATAAATAAAATCTAAGTTAGATTAAATTATCTCTCTTTTAATTTTATGATACATTATTAAGAAGTTTATTATATTATATTATAAACACTATTTAATGTCGCATCATTTAAAATAATATAGGTTTTTTATATCTAATTTTTAAAATTATTTATATGTTCCGAAAATTACTTTGCTTTCCCCCTTTTTTATTACTAATTATCAATAAAGATGAAAAAACGGAATTTTTTCAATACCTGTTTTATAAAGATAGAATTGGTGTGTGAAGAATAAGGTATTTAGCACATTCTATAATTGTCATCGAGTCAGATTTTAAATATATAAACTATAACTCAAATTGACTATGATAACTGTCAATATCCGATCCGGTTTGGAACGGATTTTCAAAAACCGATATTTGGAAATGTTTTGATGGCTTTTGAATTTTTGTTTGGATGGATATGGAATTTCTGTTTCTATGGATTTGGAACTGTTTCGATGGTTTTGAATTTTTGTTTCTATGGATTTAAAACTTCTGTTTCGATTGCTTTTGAATTTCTATTTCAATGGCTTTTGAATTTTTGAATAGATGGATTTGGAATTTCTGTTCACGAATTTTGAATTTCTGTTTCTATGGATTTGGAACTTCTGTTTCGTTGGGTTTCTGTTTCTATGGATTTGGGAACTTCTGTTTAGATGGATTTGGAAATGTTTTGATGGCTTTTGAATTTTTGTTTGGATGGATTTGGAATTTCTGTTTCTATGGATTTGGAACTGTTTCGATGGTTTTGAATTTTTGTTTCTATGGATTTTAAACTTCTGTTTTGATTGCTTTTGAATTTCTATTTCAATGGCTTTTGAATTTTTGTATAGATGGATTTGGAATTTCTGTTTATGAATTTTGAATTTCTGTTTCTATGGATTTGGAACTTCTGTTTCGTTGGGTTACTGTTTCTATGGATTTGGGAACTTCTGTTTAGATGGATATGAAAATGTTTTGATGGCTTTTGAATTTTTGTTTGGATATTGGAATTTCTGTTTCTATGGATTTGGAACTGTTTCGATGGTTTTGAATTTTTGTTTCTATGGATTTTAAACTTCTGTTTCGATTGCTTTTGAATTTCTATTTCAATGGCTTTTGAATTTTTGTATAGATGGATTTGGAATTTCTGTTTATGAATTTTGAATTTCTGTTTCTATGGATTTGGAACTTCTGTTTCGTTGGGTTTTCGTTTCTATGGATTTGGGAACTTCTGTTTAGATGGATATGGAAATGTTTTGATGGCTTTTGAATTTTTGTTTGGATGGATTTGGAATTTCTGTTTCTATGGATTTGGAACTGTTTCGATGGTTTTGAATTTTTGTTTCTATGGATTTGAAACTTCTGTTTCGATTGCCTTTGAATTTCTATTTCAATGGCTTTTGAATTTTTGTATAGATGGATTTGGAATTTCAGTTTATGAATTTTGAATTTCTGTTTCTATGGATTTGGAACTTCTGTTTCGTTGGGTTTCTGTTTCTATGGATTTGGAAACTTCTGTTTAGATGGATTTGGAAATGTTTTGATGGCTTTTGAATTTTTGTTTGGATGGATTTGGAATTTCTGTTTCTATGGATTTGGAACTGTTTCGATGGTTTTGAATTTTGTTTCTATGGATTTGAAACTTCTGTTTCGATTGCTTTTGAATTTCTATTTCAATAGCTTTTGAATTTCTGTTTCTAGGGATTAGGATTTTCTGCTTCGATGGATTGGAATTTCTGTTTCGATAGATTTGGAATTTCTGTACATGAATTTTGAATTTCTGTTTCTATGGATTTGGAACTTCTGTTTCGTTGGGTTTCTGTTTCTATGGATTTGGAAACTTCTGTTTAGATGGATTTGGAAATGTTTTGATGGCTTTTGAATTTTTGTTTGGATGGATATGGAATTTCTGTTTCTATGGATTTGGAACTGTTTCGATGGTTTTGAATTTTTGTTTCTATGGATTTAAAACTTCTGTTTCGATTGCTTTTGAATTTCTATTTCAATAGCTTTTGAATTTCTGTTTCTAGGGATTAGGATTTTCTGCTTCGATGGATTGAAATTTCTGCTTCGATGGATTGGAATTTCTGTTTCGATAGATTTGGAATTTCTGTTCATGAATTTTGAATTTCTGTTTCTATGGATTTGGAACTTCTGTTTCGTTGGGTAACTGTTTCTATGGATTTGGGAACTTCTGTTTAGATGGATATGAAAATGTTTTGATGGCTTTTGAATTTTTGTTTGGATATTGGAATTTCTGTTTCTATGGATTTGGAACTGTTTCGATGGTTTTGAATTTTTGTTTCTATGGATTTTAAACTTCTGTTTCGATTGCTTTTGAATTTCTATTTCAATGGCTTTTGAATTTTTGAATAGATGGATTTGGAATTTCTGTTCACGAATTTTGAATTTCTGTTTCTATGGATTTGGAACTTCTGTTTCGTTGGGTTTCTGTTTCTATGGATTTGGGAACTTCTGTTTAGATGGATTTGGAAATGTTTTGATGGCTTTTGAATTTTTGTTTGGATGGATTTGGAATTTCTGTTTCTATGGATTTGGAACTGTTTCGATGGTTTTGAATTTTGTTTCTATGGATTTGAAACTTCTGTTTCGATTGCTTTTGAATTTCTATTTCAATAGCTTTTGAATTTCTGTTTCTAGGGATTAGGATTTTCTGCTTCGATGGATTGAAATTTCTGCTTCGATGGATTGGAATTTCTGTTTCGATAGATTTGGAATTTCTGTTCATGAATTTTGAATTTCTGTTTCTATGGATTTGGAACTTCTGTTTCGATAAATTTGGAATTTCTGTTTCGATGGTTTTTGAATTAATGTTTCTATGTCTTTTGATTTGTTTGGATGGATGTGGAATTTCTGTTTCTATGGATTTGGAACTGTTTTGATGGTTTTGTATTTCTGTTTTGATAAATTTGGAATTTCATATAGATGATTTTTGAATTTATATTTCTATCTCTTTTGATTTGTTTGGATGGGTGTGGAATTTCTGTTTCTATGGATTTGAAACGGTTTTGATGGTTTTGTATTTCTGTTTCTATGGATTTGTAACTTCTGTTTCGATAAATTTGGAATTTCTCTTTCGATGGTTTTTGAATTTATATTTCTATCTCTTTTGATTTGTTTGGATGGGTGTGGAATTTCTGTTTCTATGGATTTGAAACGGTTTTGATGGTTTTGTATTTCTGTTTCTATGGATTTGGAACTTCTGTTTCGATAAATTTGGAATTTCTGTTTCGATGGTTTTTGAATTAATGTTTCTATGTCTTTTGATTTGTTTGGATGGATGTGGAATTTCTGTTTCTATGGATTTGGAACTGTTTTGATGGTTTTGTATTTCTGTTTTGATAAATTTGGAATTTCATATAGATGATTTTTGAATTTATATTTCTATCTCTTTTGATTTGTTTGGATGGGTGTGGAATTTCGTTTTCTATGGATTTGAAACGGTTTTGATGGTTTTGTATTTCTGTTTCTATGGATTTGTAACTTCTGTTTCGATAAATTTGGAATTTCTCTTTCGATGGTTTTTGAATTTATGTTTCTATCTCTTTTGATTTGTTTGGATGGGTGTGGAATTTCTGTTTCTAAGGATTTGGAACTTTTTTGATGGTTTTGTATTTCTGTTTCTATGGATTTGTAACTTCTGTTTCGATAAATTTGGAATTTCTCTTTCGATTGTTTTTGAATTTATGTTTCTTTGTCTTTTGATTTGTTTGGATGGATGTGGAATATCTGTTTCTATGGATTTGGAACTGTTTCAATGGTTTTGTATTTCTTTTTCTATGGATATGGAACTTCTGTTTCAATAAATTTAATATTTCTGTTTCGATGGTTTTTGATTTTATGTTTCTATGTCTTTTGATTTGTTTTGATGGTTTTGTATTTATGTTTCTATGGCTTTGTAACTTCTGTTTCGATAAATTTGGTATTTCTGTTTCTATTTTTTTTGAATTTCTGTTTATTTGGCTTTTGCACTTTTGTTTCTATGATTATCTTAATTTGAAAATTATTAGTGGCAAATCTAGTCCATACTTCTTTTATTTTTTTCTTATTTTTATATTTTTCATCGTCTTTATCTAATATATCGAGAATAAAGAAAATATCAATTTTTTAAATTTTTATAAGACAATTCTTAAAAGAAGTCAAACTTAATTAATCTATAGAAACGAATAAATCAATAGGATTTATACCATTTCACTCCATTTTATTGAAACAGAGTGCATAAGTCATCTTTGCCTACTGTTGGGAAACGTAGCACTAAAGAAGGGATTCCTATAAATATTATTTGACGGATGATGAATATAAAATTAGGCCCAATCAAAAGAAAAAAGTGGAAAGGAAAAAATAAGGATTCTTCAGTCTCAGATGCTGAAAATTACCTCTTTTATTTTTTTCTTCGGTTTATATTTTTTATCGTCTTTATCTAATATATCGAGAATAAATTAATTATAAATTTTTTAAATTTTTATAAGACAATTCTCAAAAGAAGTCAAACTTAATTAATCTATAGAAACAAACAAATCAATAGGATTTATAACATTTCACTCGATTTTTGGCTATCTTCCATATCATAGAAAGTTTCAGCACCATCTGAGACTGAATGCTCCTTATTTTTTCCTTTCAACTTTTTTCTTTTGTTTGGGCCTAATTTTATATTCATCTTCCGTCAAATAATATTTACAGGAATCCCTTCCTTTAGTGCTTTTACCTCTACGTTTCTGAACAGTAGGCAAAGATGTCATAGAATCTGGTACGCAGTGATTTCTGACTTCGTAATATAGCAACTAATTATGGTTGGCCGTAAAAACCGCCATTTAAACTATTTATGTCAGTATTAGTCTACACTACGTTATTCAGTAATCTATTTCTGCCAATCAAAGGGGCGCTAAGAGAATTGAACACATTTCCATAAGGGTTATTCCTACAGTATCCCTAACCCCCTATATGATTATTACAATAAAGTTACCAAATAGTAGTATCAAGTGCAATAAACCATTACTGAATAGTATTATCAAAACCAATATCGTTACAAATGTATATAACATATATTATCGCAAACTAACTTTAGCGATAGAAAATAAGCCATAATAGATGAAAAAATTATTAAAACAAATTAGTACATTTAATCGACTTGGAAACACCAAAATATGTCGCTTAAGATGACTCCCAAGTAGTCTTGTTTAACGGCGCGTTTTGAGCCGATTTATAAAAAACTGCTACCACAATATTTTAGCCAGAATAATATCGTCCAAGTCGCGAGATTTCGCTAATCGATGTCTGGACTTTTGCGCCATCTATGGAGCAAAAGTTTTAGGCCTTGCGTAATATTATTCTGGATAAAATATGGAGTTAGCCGTTTTCTTTCTTTCTTTCTTTCTTTCTTTCTTTCTTTCTTTCTTTCTTTCTTTCTTTCTTTCTTTCTTTCTTTCTTTCTTTCTTTCTTTCTTTCTTTCTTTCTTTCCTTCTTAATTTGTATTAATAAATCTAAATATGATAATTTTAAAAAAAAATAACCTGGGAATATATGCATTTTAACGAAATTCTCAATTGACACATTCGCATTTAGCAAAGTATTATATATGTGGAAATTGTTTACGATATTTTCTAGGGCTCTGTTACTTGGAACCCAGATTGTATAATAAATATCTGCCTTGAATGTTAAATTGGATCGATCTAGAAACTGTCTAAATATGCTGATTTCTTCATATTCGGCTAGAATTTCTTCATATTCGGCTAGAATTTCTGACAAATTCGCAATTAGAGGAACTAATGCCTTAATTAAAAAAAATTTATTTAATATTTTATTTTAAAATATAATGTCAATAGTAAAATCATTACATTTATTTAAAAGATTTTGTATATAACTAATAATTCAATATTATTTATTAAAATTGGTTTTTAATAAATACTAGTAACTACAGATTAAAAGATAATTAACCAAATAATTTTTTCTTTCATAATATATTTAAATACAAATGTATGAATATTTCAAATAATAAAATACCAACCTTAATTTTTATTACCTAAAAAGAGTCATCTAAAAGGAGTTCATATTATTTTTCGTAACCTTAGGGATAAAGCGAAATTTTACTCCGCAGAAATGATAGATCTTTTTGCTAATCTTTCTTACACATTGTATATTGTTGGGTATCACAATCTAATATTCAAATTATTTAAAAAAATAATAATAGTTAATTTTTATAAATGATAAAATTTTGGCAAAGGGTTTTGCATGTCAAAATCGCCAAAGGAAAATTAAAATTTAAAGGTTATTTTATAAAATATATAATGAATTTATATCCTAAAATATTACTATATAAAGTTGAAATCTTAAGATATATAAAATCACAATTTAATTCTTAATTATGGCTAAAAATATGCTTAAATTGATATTATTTTTAAATGAAAAGTAATGTTGGTTTATATAATAATTTTATTTACATTTATGAATCTTATATATTTCTATCTAAAATAATTTGAAACTGATTAAAATATTTACTACAATTCTTTTTTCATAAATATTATTCCCTTCATTTTTCTATATTCCATCGCTGGAAATGCTATGGAATACATTTAGGCTATATCAAGTTTTTTACAAAATTTTTACACGCGTAATATCATTGTACATTGAACCATTTGCCCCTTCAAGATGTCGAATAGTATTCAGGGCATTAGATAGAGCTATATGATTTTCAAGGAACTCTTTAGCGTAAGAGGTATTCTCTCTCAATTTTTCTTTTATGTTTTGGTCAAGATTCTGATATACGATTTTATATAAATATAAGTTGTTATTAGAAAGGTTTTTTAAAAAAAAGAAAGAAATAAAATAAAGAAAATGAAAATAAAGAGGTTAAAAAAATGGAAGAGAAAGTTAAATTAAATAATTAGAATATACATATATCTTTTAAAAAAAAATGAAAATCAATTAATCAACTGTTTATTACTAGGAAAGCCGCATTGTCTGGTATGAGAACTAATTTCGCGATTTTCGTTCAGAAGAGTGAAGTTAGATCTATGAAAGTAATTCTAGAATTCATTGGCTTCCGGTTCTCCCCGCAAGATTTTAACCAATGAGAGGGCTTTTATAATTATAATTTATATATTCGAAAAACTATATCATGTATAAGTTTACGTAAATTATTTTCAAAAAATTAATAACTCAGTAAATTAAAATCACTTTTCCTTCCCAGAACAACAATTTTAATTGGTTAATTATACTGAAAGGTCATGGAGTTATACGACCCTTTCATGATTAGAGTAATTCCTGTATATAAGTAAAATAAAAAAATTTTGGGCACACCCGGGCAAAATCTAAAATGGTCATGCCAACTCAATCGAAGTTGTTTAAATGGAATTGAAATAATTCGGAATTGAGTGAAATTAATAAATATGAAGAGTGGAAAAAATGATTTGATTTACATTTATTCGATATCAAGACAAGGTCCACGAATATTACAACTCCGTTGAATAAAACGCGAGTGTCAATGATGAATCCATTATTTATCATGTTAGAGCCGATATTTACCGTAGAACTTTTTAAAGTTTCAATTGCGTGAAGTTTTTTATAGAGATTAGGACAAATTCATTTTGCGATTCCGTGCATTTTAAGCGTTTCTTTTAATAAAAAATAATATATAGATATCCATTCTCGATACATAAATAGGTAATGTTTTTTATATATATGTAAATATGGGGTAACTTATGCATGTAACTGTTAAAAACACATGATTGGTAGCTAAGATTAAGAATTACATTATGATTCCAAATATACGTTATGTATTTTTCCCGGAAATATATTATTTTTTCAATTTTATAAATCATTTTTTGAGCGCGTTTTTTAAAATTTAAAGATCGGATTTTATCCGAAATAATCTAATTTATATTAAAAAAAATATAATTAAAATTTAATATAAATTATATTAATTTTGAAATTTTATGGACAAATTGTGTGAAATTTATAGGGTTAGGTATTCCAAACATTGATAAGCTCAAAAAATACACATTGCCAGATTGACGCCATATATAAATATTTCACTTGATATAATATTATTTTTTAGAATATAAATTTGAATTGATTATTATATAAAATAAAATGAAATAAGTTAAAGTAGAAAATCGTGATATTTTTTATAAAAGGAAATTCGAATATTATAATTATTTTAAATAATTTTAATTAAAATTATAATTTATTTTAAATAAATTTTATATTATATTATTTTAATTTATTATAATTATTATTTCAATTAATATTTAAAAATTAATAAATTTATTTTTAACATCTAAATTAATTTTATGTAAAATTTAATATATAAATATAAATAGACAGATATCTTAAATAAAATGTGTTTGAAATATTTTTTATAAAAATCTACTAAAGTTTTTACTAAAGTTTTAAGAACATCTTCAACTTAAGAAGTTGATGTCATGATAAAATTAAATAATTCCTACCTTCAAATGAAGGAAAAAAATATTGAATAATGGTAAGAAAATTCTCGGGGAAATAAAAACCTTTAGCACATTTTACATTAAATTCTAATTCCTGGATGAGTTGTGGAGATAATTGATTTATAGCTGAATTTGATGGTAAGATGATAGTATGATATTTCCCGGGATTAAGAGTCAAATTGGCTAATCCTGAGGCTATCAAATCTACATTTACAAAAAAAAATAATATTATGGAAGAGGATAAAGATAATTTTAAATTAAATAGGAAATCAAAAATGGTTTTAAGATATTGAAACGATTTTGCAAAAGAAATAAAAGTAATAAATAAAAGAAAAAAAAGAAAAAGAAAGAAAGAAAAAAAGAAAAAAAGAAAAAGAAAGAAAGAAAAAAAGAAAAAAAGGTAAATAAATTAATCATTTTGTAGTGAAATTCTTTAAACTTAAAAAAGCCTAATTTTTACAATTATCATAGAGATAATAAAAAGTATTTTAATATATTCATACATTTTGCCATAGTCGAGTTGAGTTCTTGTTGCTTCAGGAAATCATACACAGTTTGTTTGGTGCGAGGAAAATCCTCCTTTAATTTGTAAATCATTCCTTGAGTAGTAAAATAATCCTTTATCACGGGTACACAGTTAACTGCCCATCGGGTACTCGTTCTAGTTTTGTGAATCGTGAAATGTAAGTCATGTGATTCGTTACCCATCGTGACTTTTCGCATGTCGTTTAATATGAGACCCCTATGCAAATATTCGGGAATAATATTCCGCTCAAGACCAAAACCCGAATTGCTAATCGGAAGGAAAAGTGTGATATTCCCATGATCATTTAGAATTTCTAACAGATGGGAAGTATTTACTATTGAAGAATTGTTGCGAATGTAATTAATGCCTTTGAGAGTTTGGGTCATGTTCTTCAGCTCCAAACCTAAATTAATAATTTTGTATTTTAAAAACAATTTATTTTTATAGAAATTTGAAATTCAATTACTTTAACGTCCACCAAGCGAATTCATAATTAGTTTTACAAATTTTTTTTCGGTATTTTGGTTGCAGATGTTTAGAATTTTATTTTACACTGGATAGATTTTGCAGTGAATATAAACTTTAAAACCTATTATTAGAAAAATAATTTATTATTTTAATCCTCATGAATTGATACAGATAATAACATAAATCCTTTATTCTAAACTATACTATAGAAAAGGATTATGAGCCTTGAATTATCCTAAAAATTTGGCTGAGACTCTAAAGAAAATACGATAAACTGTCTAATCAGAAATATGGCGCTAAATCTTTAATCAAACTAGTCATCAACAAAAAAATGGCTCTAAAATAGCAATTTCGATATCCTTTTTAATTACACAGAAAATTAGTTATGAAATCATACGTTGCAATTGTTCAGCGAAACATTTCACTTTTTAGCGATAAATTTTATAGCAAAACTTTTACCACGAATTCACATTGGGCTAAATTACTATTCTGCTAAGACTATATTGCGAAACGAATATCGCCATTTTTTTTATAGCGAAATCCTTATCAGAGAAAGCTAATAGTAAACTCTTTTATTTTATATGATCATATTAATTCAATGATTAAATCACTATTTTAAAATTCTGAACACGTAAGAATTCTATATATAAAAAAAAGAAGTTTGAAATAATTATATTATATTGTTCAGGTATTAACTCTTACTTTTATCATTTTTGTATCGTAATTAATTAGCTAAAACCTAGAGAATTTCTTAGAAAAATTTGGGCTTCCTTAAAGAATAATCTACGAAAGGATCAAAGGTCATACTAAAGTTTTAAGTATACAATAACAAGTTCAAAATTTAATTTAAATTTTAAATTATACGATATGTATATTATATTAAAGGCTGACTTTGTAGGTTGAAATATAATTGATAAAATTTAATTTCAATCTTTAGGTTTTTTTTTCTTTTTAAAAACTTGATTTATAAATCAACAAAAGAGGTATATAGAAGGCTTTTTTAAATAAGAAAAAATTTACTTCAAAAACAAAACAAAAGGCAAAATATATAAATTTAAGGAAGGTGTCTAAAATGAATGACTAAACAAAAATACTATTAATTACCATGGATAGGCTGTCTATATAGAGCCGTTAAGAAAGTTGAATGGCAAATTTCTAAGCTAAGTTCTGAACAAATTTAGAAATAATCTTTAGGATCGTCCCATGTGATGGCTAAATTTTCATTAAATTAATCCATAATGGTTTCCAAACATGTTCCTAATTCCTATTATTTATTTATTTTTAAACGATGAAAGACCGCTATATTTTTACCGGTATACCGTACCGCCACAGTTGACAATTCTTCTTCAAAAAACTTTAAAAATTCTATGTTCGAACCACTTTTTCGAAAGCATGTTAATCCGTCTAAGAACGATAAAAAATCGTGTTTTTTGTTTGTTCAAACAAGGCTCTGAAGTCAAGAACAAAGAATTTTATATTTTTTTTCTCGATAATTTTATTTATTAATTTTTCTCGTAGGTTTAATTATACTATTACTACCGTTCAGAATTGATTATATATATAATTATTTTTTTTTTCTCTAAGAATATTCAACCCTGAAACTTATGAAGAAGTGTGGAGATCATGTTAGTTTATTTTGTTAAAAATAAGAGTTTTAAAAAAAATAATTACAACCAATTTTAGGGCAGTTCTATCTTAATGCATAAAAACAAATATAATTAAACAAACAAATAGCAGAGTTGAGCAGATCCTACGAAAAAAATAAACTAGATACAGATACAGATTCTTTGTAAAAAAATGAATCTTAGATACAGATACTAATATCTTTTTCAAAATATCAAAAAGATACATGCCTAATTAGAGTATCTTAAATACAAGATACTTTTAAATTATCATTATCAATTAAATTAGAACAGTTTATAAAATACAGTTATTATTGATTTGTGAAGAACATAACATACGCATATAATAAGAATGAGGATTTGCAATAATTAATAAAATATTTAAAACTTTCTATGATATGGAAGATAGCCAAAAATGGAGTGAAATGGTATAAATCCTATTGATTTATTCGTTTCTATAGATTAATTAAGTTTGACTTCTTTTAAGAATTGTTTTATAAAAATTTAAAAAATTGATATTTTCTTTATTCTCGATATATTAGATAAAAACGATAAAAAATCCAAGCCGAAGAAAAAATAAAAGAGGTATGGACTTGATTTGCCAACATCTAATAATTTTCAAATCAAGATAGCTCAGAGAAACAGAAGTGCTAAAGCCATTGAAACAGAGTGCATAAGTCATCTTTGCCTACTGTTGGGAAACGTAGAGGTAAAAGCACTAAAGGAAGGGATTCCTATAAATATTATTTGACGGAAAATTATTATAAAATTAGGCTCAATCAAAAGAAAAAAGTTGAAAGGAAAAAATAGGGAGCCTTCAGTCTCAGATATTGAAACTTTCTATGATATGGAAGATAGCCAAAAATGGAGTGAAATGGTATAAATCCTATTGATTTATTCGTTTCTATAGATTAATTAAGTTTGACTTCTTTTGAGAATTGTCTTATAAAAATTTAAAAAATTTATATTTTGTTTATTCTCGATATATTAGATAAAGACGATGAAAAATATAAACCGAAGAAAAAAATAAAAGAGGTATGGACTTGATTTGCCAACATCTAATAATTTTCAAATTAAGATAGCCATGGAAATAAAAGAGCAGAAGCCATAGAAACAAAATTCAAAAGCCATCCAAACAAAATTTCCAAATTTATCGAAACAAAAGTTCCAAATCCAGAGAAACACAGCTATTAAAATTGGAAGGTATTTTAAAGCTTTGATTATTTTACAATCCAGAACGGTGTATTTGAAACCCTTGTCATTTAAATAATTTTAAGCTTTCAATATCTGAGACTGAAGGCTTCTTATTTTTTCCTTTCAAATTTTTTTTTTTGATTGGGCCTAATTTTATATTCATCTTCCGTCAAATAATATTTATAGGTAACCCTTCCTTTAGTGCTTTTACCTCTACGTTTCCCAACAGTAGGCAAAGATGTCATAGAATCTGGTACCCAGTGATTTCTGACTTCGTAATAAGGCAACTAATTATGGTTGGCCGTAAAAACCGCCATTTAAACTATTTATGTCAGTATTAGTCTACATTACGTTATTCAGTAATCTATTTCTGCCATCAAAGGGGCGCTAAGATAATTGAACACATTTTCATAAGGGTTAATCCTCGATATGAGCCATGTCATATTTAAACGAATTTTACGGCATCCCAAACCCCCCTATATTTCCGGTTGTAGCAACCCGTTTCTGGTGTATAGGGGGGAGGTGTCATTTTCTGTTCCATCTTAAAATGTTAGTAAAAAATGTATAAATAAATAATGAAACTCAAAAAAATAATCAATATAATTTTACCAGCTGCCAGTCTATTTTCGCAAAGAAGCCATGCGACTTGATAGCATCAACACCATTGCTACCAAGCCTTTTAAGAGGATCCTGATTATAATATGAAGAATATAGAATATTTTTTAAAATTTGTTTATGAAAACTTTAATGAAAATAAATAATAAGCTTTTATTTAATATATGAATAAACATATCAAAAATACACAACTAAAAAAGTTTAAAAATTTATCATTAGGTTTAAATTCAGAAAATTTTTAATTTCTTAAAGAGTATTTAGAAAATAACCTTAATTGTATGATTGAGTTTAAAATAAAATTTAATTTTTATTTCAAACCTCGGTGAGGAATCCTTTGATAATGGATGAAGCGATGCTCGAAACGAATTTAGGAATTCGTTCGAGTTTGACTAAAAAGAAATAAAATATTAAATATACTTACAATCTTTATAATTGAAAAATTTGTATTTAATCAATGATAAAATATTGAGTTTAAATATGTTTTTAATTACATTAAAAGTATTTGTAAATTATTACCTGGAGAGGTATCATTGGCTTCTGGGCCAAAGGGTAGTTCGCCAACCAGCATCTCGTACAGAACTACCCCTAAGGCCCACCAATCAATGCTGAAGTCTTTGAATTTTTATATAAAGAAATATTTCTAGTAGTTTTAAAAATTATGATAACAAATATATAAATATTACGATTTTTTTTTCTTACTAAATTCCAAAGTTATTACTATCTACGACATACTATATTTGTATTTTATTGTGAAATAGAAGAAAATATTTACTGTAATATGGGTCTCGGGTGGATTCTGGAGCACAGTAGCACGTGGTGCCCATTCCTAGAGTATTTCTTCTACCAACCAAAATGTCCTAAATTTTTTTAATAACCGTATATATATATTAAAATAAATAAAAGAACTTGAAAAATATTTTAGAAAAATTTATTTTCCATAATTATCTTAATAATAACAAAATTACCGATTATCTAAGATGTGTATTTAAAAAAAATCTTAGGAGATTTTTCCTAAGTTAAAATTGGCAGCTATTGGGAACGAATGCATAGCTTTCAACGATATCGATTTCTAATGTGTTTATTACAATATCCAAGAAGTGAGTTCTAATTTTACGCTCACAAAAAAAATATAGCTAGTACATCTTAATCCGCTAATTCTAGGTTCAATTTTAAGTGGTTTCATACTGCAGAATTTCGTAGGCCGCGGCGTGTATAGTTAATGCATATAAACAAAAATAGGTGGGTTTTATTGCATTTTAATAAAATTTGGAAAAAGCCGTAAATTATTTCGAATCGATTCAAACCGGCGGCACAAAACGGTTTTAAAAATTATATTTGCTATATTTAATGATTATTTCTCATTTGATTATTTAAAATAACTCGAGTATATTTCTAAAAGGCGTCAATTTGTAAAGGTATAATTTTGATTTAAAAATATAAAACCAATCAAGATAACTTAAATAAATCGGTAAACCCCCTTCAATATAAATTTGTTAAAAATTGATATTATTTTTCAAAAATTTACAATTATACAATATAATTTTATTGATACCAATTTAAGTTTTGGTTGAGTCGTGTAGGGCTGAACTAGTTATTAAACTATCCAACTTTAGTCAACTATAAAACAGCATAGCTATGTTTTTATCCAAAAATATTCGAATCAATCTTCAAGTTGAGACTCGACTTAGAGGCTTAATTCAAATTTTTAGGCTAAAAACTTGAATAAACCACAATAGAGATGGTCAAGTTAGGTATTTAAAAACGCTAGTGAACCGTGTGCATAGCCAGTGGAAACTTATTAAATAAATTACATATTTAAGCACGAGCTGGCACATACCTCAGCTGGAAGAATACTAATGTCCTTTTTTATTTCCTATTTTCCTTTTTTTTTGAAGATTTAATGTAGCAATTGACAATTATGAAATTAATTTAAAAAATAAAGTTTTTAAAAAAATAAGGATGTAGGGGGAAAAAAAATATTTACTATTAATTTTTTTATATACTTTTTGAAGTCTATCTATAATATGTATAAAAGCCTTGTCACACTGTGACAGTCACACTTACACAATTTGTAATAATGTCTGTGACCCAATCGGCAAGAGCCTCTCTTACAAATCTGATGGACTTAGGTTCGAATCCCAGCAAAGATTTTTTTTTCTCTTAATCTGGCAAAATAAAGATTTTTTTTTCTAAATCTGGCAAAATTAATCAAATGATACAATACAAAGTTTGTAGCTACCATAAAATTCAAACTATTAAATAGGTATTCTTTTATTTTAAAATTTTTACTACTCTTTAAAAAAATATTAGTTCATCAAAAATCACCATATAATCATATCATATCAAACATTTATTCATCTTCCTTTAGCATAAAACCATTACCGTCTTATACATTATCATATATTTAGATACTAGAACTAACTGATATATTATAGATATTCTTACACAATTTTATATTAATATTACACTATACAATTTTATATAATTAATACATATATGTTTAATAGGTTTTTTTTAAGGATATCTCATAGGCAATAGAAGTTAAATTTTTCAATTTAATAACTATTTTATTATCTTTTTATGTTTCTGCATAAGATACACTCCAACAAAAAATATATTAAAAATCAACTATCAAATTGTAGTAATACTGAAAATCAGAATGTATTATTGCTTCAACACCCTTATCAGTAAATTTATAAAGTTTTTCTATTTTTTTTACAAGTCTTATATAAATTTCTTATTTTGATTATATTTTTTAACGCTATGATTTTTTTTCTGAAAAACCATTTCATGGGGAAAATTTAAAAATTGTTACCATAAAAGGTCCTGTTTTATTGCCTTCTCTACAATTTGCTTAGATGAGTTTTTTTAGGTATATCTCGTAGGCAATGAAAGTTAAATTTTTTACAGTAAATTATTATAGTCTTTTTATCATTTTATATTATTGTTTTCATGTAAAAAATTTTAATTATTGGATGATGATAAAATAAAAAAATTTCTGATTCAATCAATAAAGTTAAAATTTATTATTCATTCGTAATTGAAAAGAAGAAAATTCTGATTCCCAGTCATTCTAGACTGGATATCAGCTAGTAAATATAATGATACAATTTATTTCATTGTAAATTATTGCTGAATATTATATTTGATGCACATGAGATTGTTTTCTTATAAATATTTTAAATATTTCGAGCGGGCAGAACAGAACCTGTTATTTAAAAATATTGCCTTCAGGCACTGATAGGTTCAATACAGTAATGACGATTATGGTTGTCTGTTAGACCCTTCATTTAGAACAATCTCGTTACATCCTCCTACCCTTAGACTCGATGACTAAACTAAAACACTAAATTATAAGGATGTATGTTATATAAATCCCTAATAGTAACTGCCTCGAAATTTCAAAGAAAATCTACCACAAGTCCAATGTTAAAAGATCCTGAATCATATAACCTTCTTTAATGTTATTTTTCTAAAATATGTTTGAATACAAATATTAAGGTTTTATCCATTTTACTTATTAAAATCTTGTTCCTACGGTTTCAATGTTATTTATTTTATTAATACAAAAATATTACTGTGCAGAGGCCATAGTCAGCAAGTTTTATGTGACCGTCGGAACACAAGAGAATATTTTCCGGTTTGATATCGCGATGTATAATTCCTGGGTAGAAAAATATTAAATTTTAATAAAATTAACGATAAAATTATTATTTTTATTTTCTAAAATTGGTAAATAATTTTGCTATAAAAATGTTACCTTCGCTATGAAGGTGGTGGATCGCCAAGGTTATCTCCCCAGCATAAAACCGAGCGTGGTGCTCGGGTAATTTGAAATGAGGTTGCTGTTGGAGGTGACGATGGAGGTCTCCACCGTCAACGTACTCCATAATAAAGGCGTAGCTGTAAAATAATATACAGATAAATTATCGATTATTACTAAATAAAAAAAAATTTCTATATTCTCATTTCGATAAAACTTTCTCATAAATAACTTATATAAAAGTAAAACATACTTCATCGGGGTATCGTAAAACATAAACAACTCAACCAAAAAAGGGAGATTTTGAATTTTATCGAAAGTATTTTTCTCGCGATGCACCTGTCGATAACTGTCTATATCCTGTTTATCAAAAATATAGCGAGTATATAATAAACGTTGAAACGGTCAATTTAAAAATATTTTTAAACAACATATAAATATTAAATGGTGAAATGTAAACCTCTACGTGATCACGGAATCGCTTCTTGATCACCTTAGCGGCATATTCCTGACCGTTTCTTTTGGACCGAACTAGAAAAACCTTGGCGAATCCACCTTTCCCTATGAGTCTTATTATTTCGTAATCAGCACACAGAAGGTCCATTTTACCACCATCAATTTTGACATCTACAGGGCCAACCTTCTCATTCTCTCGTATTTTTCCAAAATACCCATCGAAGTTGGGGTAAGAAACCGTGTCCTTACAGGGATCATCGATTGTACCTCTGACACGTTTCTCTACCCCATCTTCCCCATCATCGTTCCTTCCTACACCCCTATTTTCGAAACATTTTCTGAAAATAGGGCCCTCACTCTTCTCGCCCCCCAACAAGGCTTTAAGTACAAGGCCATCGGGCCTTATACCATCCATCTTTTTTCTCGCACCAAAACATTTAAGTAGTGACCATCCCAACACCTTTTTATTTTCTAGAAAAGTGCAATTAAAAAAAATGGAATTAAACTCAAGAATACGATTAAATTGTACCTTTCCTTGGTGCGGAAGAAGCACTATTTTTCTTCCTAAAACAAAAATCAAACATAATTTTTTAAATTTTTCAATGAATAATATAATGATCAAATAAAAGTTAAGATTCCTTGATATCATGAAACGTAATAAAGATCGTAATATTTTGATGAATCGTATTGCTTACGATAATATATCAAATCTTTTCTAATTACTATTTCCGTGATAACGCTAAGATTAAATATGCGTCATAATTAATAATAGATTATTATTATTAAACTTGCTGTAATAAGCAGCAGATACTAGCGGATAAAATTTGTGGAAGACTGGAACGCTTAATAAGTCGGATGGTAGGGTAAGCAAACGAACGTATACAACGTTTTCAACTTTAGAGTTAATTGTTTGTAACATAAGTGAAAAGATAAATTTATATTTTCAATATATAATATGTTCATTTAGTAGTGAGAGCTTTGTAAGATGTTGTCGATCAAAAGCAATTTTTTAACTCAAATGATCTTAAAATCAGTAAATAACTTTACTATCTATGTAAATGGTGGAGGACTAAGGTTATTTCCGCCGCATAGAAAGCACAGTGCTTGGGTAATCTGGAGTGAGGTTGCCCCCACCGTCAACGTACCCCATAATAAATGTGTAACCGTAAAATAATATATAGATAATCTATCTTTTATTATTAAAATTTAATGTTGCTAAATATTCCTTCAAATTTTATAAAATTTATAAGAGGAACTCTACACTTTTAAGACGCATTTTTAAAAACTTTAATTTTAATTTATCCTTTTTTAGAAATAATTTTATTTTATACAACATATGTTTTTGTTTGTATACGATTCTGTCAATCCGAGATGTAAATATGAATATTATTAAACCTTTATATTGAAATCGTTAAATTTGATAAAAATGTATATTATTGTAATTATGTTAAAAATAAGATATAAGCTATTTATAAATTTGAAATTTTTTTAAAAATAGCATAATCACATATACCCCCCCCCCCTTACTCATCAAGGATAGGCATGCTTCAAAGCGCCGGCTTATATGGCAACACTTTATTGATGATCTTACTTTTATAAGAATTACTGGATACCTATCCAGAATTTATCCGTGGGGTCAATAATAAAATTTAAGAACTTCGCCCCTCACTTAATGTATTTAGGCATTTTTGATTTAAAGTTTACCAACAGATTAAAGCACTAAGATATCCTACTTACTATTTATTAATATGTGTTTTCAGAGATGTTTCCAAGAAGCATGATTGTATTTAGGCGGAAGGATATCATTGTTTCTATCTAGCTTCTAATGTGTTACTTATTTGATGTAGGTAAAATTGATTTAAGATATAATAAATAAGAAACTATATTTTAACGGATCAGATTTTTATTTATTCACCTTGTTTACATGACGACAATTTTTTTATATTTTTTATTCTTATTTTACGATATCAATATAAAAAGTATTACGGACATACAAAATTTTTATCTATTCATATCTTCAATGTCGATGTACGCCATTGATAATAAGAAATAATGTATTAGATATAGAAGAAGAAAAAAATAGAACACTATATTAATTTAGTTTAGAATATTTTAGTTCTTTTTGCTAACATTTATTATTTTATGTTTGTATTAAATTATGCATAAGCGATGTCAAACCATAAAATATCCATATTACTTATTTGTGCTTGCTGGTAACGTAAATAAAATTAAGTTTTAAAAAATACTATATATTAAATTAGAAAACATCTTAAAGATGAAAGTCTCATTTAAAATAACTTTGAAGAACAGCGATGGCACTCGAAAGATGCGTAATTTATGAATAAAGGATAGCGTCGCTCTGTAATTTAGCATTTAGCACGTGAGCAACTGGCTTATGTATATCGATCATCAACTCTAGAGCATTTAGTTCAATCTACATGATTTAACTATGGTTAGATTCATTTCCTTTAAAAATATTTTAAAATTATTCGACCACCTTAAACTATTTTTAAGGCTAAAATGGCCTAATGTGGGTTGGATCTAGTATATCAGAGAATAATAGAAGACTGCATGTTCTCAAGCCAATCTCTGACCTATTGATGAAGATCGATATCAATTGACAACTCAATACTACACACAATTGTAAATCTTTATTACATAATCTCCGTTATCTTATATTTATCAATTTCGTATCATCATTAAAATTATTTCAATTTTTCATTCTACTTTCGTTTCAGCTTAATGTCTATTTAAATGTCTATATAATATATACCTAAAGTTTATTTTTTATTAATTAAATACGATCCGAACCTAATAATATATTGATCCAACAATGTCTAACTCTGAGGACGGTCCTAAATAAAATATTTGTTTTTTAAAAATAATTTATTATTTTTGCTTACAACTTAATTTGAACACGAGACCTTTCGTTTCGGATGAAAATTCCAAGGACTAAAAGGTCCGCTAATTGCATAAATTTATCCGCTAAACTTATAGCCTTGGTTTGGGCTACTAATTTAAGTTTTATTGTATTAAAAAATGCTTCTAGATTATTCAGCTTAATATTGGCTCACAATCTATTGTTAAATTATACTGAAAAGCATGTATACATCTCAGGATATTTGGATAATGTAGGAAAATATTTAAGTTGGTTAATGTAGACGTTCACATATTATAATATTTTTATCGCCTCATATAAATATATCAGGCATTACTTGCTCCTCTCTTTGCATTTGATTAACTATTCTCAAATGCAGATTTTTTTCATATATCCTACAATCCCTTTATCGTCATTCTCTGCTTCTGATATGTCATTGATAATATGGGTAATCGAGTCTTTCTGTGTTTTTCTTTAACCATTTAATTTAGCCGTAAATCTTCAATTGATACTTTTTATAACCTTTTTCAAGCTATCAGCTTTGGCTAAGAAAAATATTCTCTTGAAAGCCTTTTCAATTATACCCTCACTGTTATTCTACAACCCATTTATAATGTAGGCATCATTTCCCGTTGTAAAATGTTAATTCCTTGAAATTCTTTCATCGAAACCAGTTACTATATCTGTATAGATAACATCTCGTAATACCTCCGGTTCTGTAGGCTTAAAGCGCGTTCATTTGACAGACAACAATTGTGACGAATTAAAATGGGGAAGCATAAGCTAGATGGCCTTGAGGCTGATGATTGTGAGAAAGAAATATTTTCTATTAAACGGGGTTATCTATAAAAATTTAAAGAGCTATAAAAGATTAAGTAAAGATAAGATAGAGGATGAGCAAAATATAATGGTGACCACAGAGCAGAGAATATGGTCAAGAAAAATTTAAATAAGATAGCTTAAATGCTGATGTGATATCCGATGGTGTAGCTCGCGCGTATAAGTGATTGATCCACCATTTTTAAAGTGGCTAATTTATTGAAGCCATTTCAATACATTTACAAAGTCTCCTGAATTATAATAAATATCTATTTTCTCAAGAACCTCAGCGCCAAAGGTTGTATCAATATCGAGGCCATCTGGACTAATACCTTTCTTTATACTACGGCCACTAAAACATTTGGTGCCATTCATACACTTTTATTTTTTTTAAATAATTGAAGACAGGAACACATTGATTCCTCAACCTAATGGGAAAAGTCTCTTAGGATTTCGAGATTTAACAAAATATATTTGACTATACTGATTAAGTAAAATGAGGTCTTTAGAGATCTATTTTTAATTTATACGTTTGTCACATATACACCAAAGTGAGAAGGCATTTTATTGACGTTTAATGAATAAAGATTGGCAGTAGGAAGGGGTGATATAAGATTATCGATCCCTCTTAAAGATTGTTCCGAAAAAAGGAATACGGAGAAACAGGTTGTGGCGGGAACAGGGATAATGATAGTGTAAAACTGATCAGTAATGACACTTGTAGATATAAACCCCGACTAATTGTGCACTGACATTTAATTGTTTAGTTTATTAGAAATTGGTAGCGATACTAAAGTATTTCTACGATCTTATGTAAATGAGAAATTTTAAGCGGTTGAGGTGATTGGAAAGTATTCCACTTGGAGTTAAAGATTTGCATTTAATTAATTATAAATTTACACAATGAAAACCACTTTTCTGCCTTTTTCTTTTCAAATTTTATCAGCATCATATAACTTTAGATGTTAATTATTCTGTTCCTTCATCTACTTTTTATTCATGTTACTAACAAAATTTAAATTTATCATGATTTATTAAATAGGATATATACAGTTGGCGTCTATTTCATCTGGAAAGAACTCCGATTTCTGGTCGATTTAGCTGCCTTTGACGAGATCCCTATGATGTGGGTCTTTTATACTTTTATATAAGATTATATATTTATGAGAAGATTTTTTTGATTGAGAATATAAAATTTTTTAATAAAAGATAATTATTTTATTATTTCACAGTTACGCATTCGTACTCAACCGTCACCTCCAAAAGCAACCACATTTCAGATTAACCAAGCACCATGCTCGGTTCTATGAGGCGGAGATAACTTTAGCAGTCCACTTCCTGCACAGTAAAGGTAACATTTTTATAGTAAAATTATTTACCCATTTTAAGATCAAAAAATATTAATTTTTTTGTTTATTATATTAAAAATTAATATTGTATCATCTAGGAACATATATTTCTATGTAATGATTCCCATGTCAAACCTACGGACTATGGTTCGTACACAGATATTTTTTGATAGCATATAATTTATAATTGTAAAAGAAGCATAAAACACTGAAATTATCAAATAGGGAAATTAAAGGTATCAAAATTGTGTCCAAATAAATTGAGATGGCTTTAGAGGTTATGATGTGTAATTAATCTCTGAAAGAAGAAGTCTTCAAGGGAGCTATTCCCTTATATAACATAAATCCTTATAATTGAATCGTTTATTTTAATCTTCGAATTTGGAGGTTTAACAACATTGCTTAAGGAAAAGAGTCTATAAAATAGAAAATGTTTACCGATTTCAAGTCTCCAATTGCAATTTTAAATTTTAATAGAATTAAACAAAAAAATTAATATTATTGATCTTAAAAATGGGTAATTAATTTTAATAAAATTGTTAACATCTACTGTGAAGATGGTGGAGTGCTAAGGTTAATTCCGTCGCATAGAACCGAGCATGGTGCTCGGGTAATTTGTGGTGAGGTTGGTTTTGGAGGTGACGATGGAGGTCTCAACCGTCAACGTACTCCATGATGAAAGCGTAACTGTAAATTAATAGATAAATTGTTATCTTTTTAATATTAAATTTTTTTATATTCTCAATTTAATAAATCTTTTTCATACATATATAATCTTCTTCATCGGGGTTTGGTAAAAGGCTGTTAACTCAACCAGGAATGGAAGTTTTTTTTTGATCTGGTGGAAAGTATGTTTCTCCCGATGAATTAGAC